GTTAGTTAGTTAGTTAGTTAGTTAGTTAGTTAGTTAGTTAGTTAGTTTCAGGCAGTAACTTAGTTAACTAAGCTGTAACTTGTTACTCTTCTAAGTTTCTTGTAGATTGTATGTAGTTTTAAGACCTAATAAATCCTGTGTGGCTTTTTGTGAATTAGGTTCCTGCTCTTGCCAGATTATTATTTATCTCTTGGGTTGACTCACAAAATGGGATTCAGACTACATTTCTGAAGTGAATATCTTGTGTTTTGGTAAAGTTTCATGCTGATTTTCTTTTGCAGTATCTGTCCTCCAGTAACTGTGAATATGTTGACCTTTCAACAATGGCCCTTGACCTTCAAAAACAATACAGGTAGGTGCTCTGATCTGCTCAGTTTGTCCAGCACAGATCACAGATTCATGAAACACTTGGTCCACTTTCATTAGCCCCATGAGGCGCCTCCTTTCTGCCTTGGTGTCTTGTGAAGTGACTGACTAGGGTGGGTTGAAGTTGATCAACACTGATTCACCGTGCTTGCAGTGGATCTGGTCTTGGAGTATTTGGAGGAACTTGTCAGACCTGACTGGTGAATGACCAAAGAAGGCTTCATAATGGGTCATCTTTACAACCACTGCAGAACCCCATCATTAAATGGGCTGTTGAAATTGTTCTCCCTCCAAAACACATTTTATACTTAAATATTTTTACTCTCACTGCATCAAGTTTTTCCTCTAAAAGTTGAACATTTTAGTTCATAATGTCAATTTATACTAAACTGGTTATGGATTATATGTAAAGAGATGAGAATGATAGTTGTTGATTATCTCATGTCTTTAGATTGGACTATGGCAGAAGAAATAAGACGGCTTTCAGAATCCAAGTAGAGAAAGGTAAGGGGGACAAGTTTCCAGTGATTTATTCCTGTGTAATAAAAACACCCATAACATAAATGTTTCCTTTTATGAAGGCTAAATGGAAAAAAATATAAAGATGAAGTATTTGATTTTATCTTTCACAAAAAAATAAACAAGTTCTATATTAATATGTTTTTACAGTGTATTCTATAGCAACACATCCAGATTAGCTTCTGCACTATGCTCCTCCCATTTTTGGGGTAAAAACAATCCCCACTTTGAGCAGCTAAAACAAATCTGAATAGTTTGGTTTTTCTTTTTTGTCTGTGCAAAATGCAGCACAGAACATTTTAGGCATAACTCCACTAATATTCCCAGTTTGTAACCAGTAGTTTTCCATTGTTTAGTTTTTGTTTCACCAAAAAAGGGTGGTGCTACATGATGTGCCTTTGCTCTGCTTCATAATTCAAAATAAAATAAGATCATGACCTGTCAAGCTCTCAAACAACTTAAAGCTTTCCTAATTATCCACTTTGTGTCCATTCTGTTCTGTGAAACCTAACTTGTCTTCTTGTCCTTGAAGTGTATGAAGCAGTCAAGGAGGACTCCAACCTGAATGACCTGGAGACCAAACACTTAGCTAAGAGAGCCAAGAGCAGCCACAATGATACTGGGTAAGAACTCTGGTTCTTGGTCTGACTCTATCATTCCTTCTCTTGCTCTTTCATCTGGCCCTGTCATGGCAGGAGAGAATTTGGGATTGGGCTGAAGAATGTCTCTTACTTTAAGGCTCTGAAAAGCTCTTTTGTGCTGTTCTTGGATACTTTTTCAACATATGAGTTAAAACTCTGGGCCAGAGGAATATGGTTTAGACAAGTTTGGCTCTACTGAAAAGGGACGAAGTCCGTTGGGAAGTTGTTTCATGGCTGAAAATACTAATGGCATTTGGCTCGGCCATACAAGAGCCACAAGGTGATGAAAAGGGTTTGTGTAGTTTTTGTCATATTTACAAATGATAGACATGTTTATCAAATACTATTTGTATTCATACATCAGCAACATTACAAAAAGCAAGCTGAAAATAGCACCAAGTACAAATCATGGACCTAATTAGCAAATTACCAGGTTTTTGACTGTAAAACTATGAGATCCGTACAGTCTCATCACACTGCTTCTCCAGATCATGTCAATCAAAGGCCTGGTCAAGCAAGGGTAAAATGGCTGTGCTTTAAAAACTCTAATGAAATAATTCAATGAAAACTTGTGTGTTTGCAGTGATGGCAGCAGCGACTCGTCGGAGTCCTCAGACACAGAAGAAGAACGCCCTCCAGACAACTCTGTAAGAAAAGAGCTAAACACGATGTTTAGAGGGCAGTATGTGGAAATACCATTTAAAATAACTTAACATAATAAAATAACTTCTGTGAGTGGTTTTGTTTTTAGTTTAACATGGTTGCCTTAAATTTCATTTGAGAAACCAAAATATTTTTTATAATTTGAACAACATATATTTTGCAAAAAATACAACCCCACAAAAAATTAAAATTTTATATCTTTTTATGTTTGAAGCCTGAAATGTGGCAAAAGGTTGAAAAGTTCAAGGGGGCCGAGTACTTTCGCAAGGCACTGTATATTATAAACGTATTTCAAAGAAAGGAAGAAATAAGATTTCTTGTTTATTAGCAAGAGTCAGTAGATTATTATACTTATTATAATATTATAGTTATTAAAGTTATTAATAGTCGTGGAGGCGCACGGCCGATGATCCAAATTGGGTCGTCAGCCACGCGCCTCCTCCGACGCAGCGGCTGAGTCCAGTTAAGCTTCAGGTGTATCGCTGCCTGGCAGTGATCCACCTGGACTTTTTTTTTTTACATCTTTCAACCGGACGGTCAGCGTGTGGTCAAACAGCCGTCTGCAGCTGGTGATCCAAATCGGATCGTCAGCTGACTCATTCAAAACCCCGACCCGGCCCACCCATCCAGCACATTATTTTGGCCTGGCTCGGCCCAGGTTAGAAATGACAGCTCTAACCCCACTGTCCCACAGTACATGAGAGGAGAGCCGAGCTGCTTACTGGAGATATGTCTGCCAGTTTGTGCTCCCATCTCCTCGGTTTTCTCTGTTCTTGTGCTAAACTCTGTTCCTTTATAAAAGAAGCTACATCCTCTTTTCTTTAAGCTGAAGTTTCACCTTCAGATTTAGCCAAGTGTACTTTTTTCTTCTGGCTGCAGACTTAAATGCAGGATGTATGTCAGATGGTCAGATTAAAGCTCTTTTGTTACTTTTTACTGATGAGGAGAAATAAAAAAGTGTCTGTTGCTTCAAGATATACCATAATAATCTACACAAGGCTCAGGCTGAGTAGAGGAAACTTTGACCAGTTATTGGACGAGCTGAGAAAGCATCTTTAGGCTCTCTGGGATTTCTAGAATATAAACTTTCTTCAGATTTTGACATGACCGCATCACTTGGCAATTTATTTATCAACTTGTGGCGTTTGAAAATTATGAATAAATAATATCTTACCTGTAGATGGCTAAACGACAACCATTTGAGGAAATAATTTAATTCAAGCTATCAGACAATCAGAATGCAAGTACAGTAGTCCCTCTCTACTTCGTGGTTCGTTTACCACAGACTCGCTCTATCGCGGTTTTTCAAAATAAGATTGGACATGACTCATGATTGGATGATTGATGGATGAGCTGCACGATCGGCATGGAATTTTTATTTAAAATAAATTATTTAAAGATGTTTAGCACCTACTGCACCTTTGTGCAGCCCGTACTGCAGGATAAACTTCCAGCTGCAGCTGATCAGCTGATCACCGTGCAGAGCAGAGAAGTGGGCGTGGCAGGTGGCTGAGAGCAGAGGAGGCAGGGAGCTGAAATCATGACATTCTGTGCTATTTTATAGCGTTTAGCGTTTAAAAACATTGTTTAGAATAATGCAAGAGTGTGAGATGGGTTTAACACCATACATATATATGTGTATGTATGTATATATATATATATATATATATATATATATATAATACTAAAATAAACTACTACTTTACTTGTACTACTATTCCTACTTCGTGGTTTTTCACTTATCACGGGGCTTCAGGGTACGGATCCCCCACGATCAACGAGGGACTACAGTTAAACCAAAGTGAATCACTAAAACTACTTAGATGTGAAAAATGTTGTAGCGGTTAGTCCAGATCTGATTTATGGATCTTTACACCTCCGTCTGCTTCACATTACACGGTTCTTTACATGGAAGTGAGTGTTTTTACAAACACAAACGGCATCAGTGAGGTGCTCTCTGGGGTCAAACCTAGATGGAACTTCATATTTCAATAGTAATAAACATGAAATGTGAGGCTGGCGGTGATGGAAAGGTTTAAATATTGTTCTTCACATGAACCAGAGGTTGGAGCAGTTTGAAGATTCACTTGAGACTAGCCATTAGTTCATCTTTTCTGTCAGATTTAAAGTCTATTATTTTCCAGACTGAGTCTGTTCAGAGTTGTTCTATCTTCAACGAGTAAGATATTAATTGTTCATAACTTCTCCACAGAACCCCACTCTACCTTTAAAAGCCGTACATGTCACTCTGTGCTTCCAGACTTGTTGATAATTGAACAACAAAGTTATTTAAAAGTTTGTGGTGTGTTTTTTTTTATTCCTTCCACAGACCAACAACCTTCTTGCATCTCTGTATCGTAAGGGCACCTCTGCTCCCAGCAGTCCTGCCAGCAAAACCAACCCCCCTCCCAGTGCTGGGACCCTGGTGTCCTCTGGAGGCTTCTTCATTGATAAAGGCAAAGGCTCCTCAGGGAGAAGCATCTTCATCGACCTGTGTGAAGAGGAGTCTGACAGTAAAGCAGCAGCTGTATGTACTCATGGAGAGAGCAAGAAGTATATCTTAACGTTCTAATCTGAGCCGTCAGGTTGCTTTAAGAACAGCTGCTGGTAGAATCTGTCTGTAAAATGTATATTAAAGTGTTTATTAGGGCTGAAAGAAATGTTTCTGTGAAAGGATGAATTAAAAGTAAAGCTCTTGGTAGAATGTAGATGACACAAAACAACCGGAGAATCTGTAAGATGAAAAGTTAAAATCTCTGCTCACAGATTTTTCTTCTTGCGTCTTTATTCACTGGCAGGCAGACGTGTCGATGCTGGAGCCCCAGAAGAGTCACAAGTCAAGGAAAAGGGCAAAGAGCTCAGCTCAGGCGGATGAGTTTCTCACCCTGAACAAAAAAGGTACATTGTCTAGTTTGTCTGTGCTATTTTCAAACTTTGTTTGCTTTTGAATCTCATTTTATTAAGTAAATAAAATTTTTGATACATCGCCCTAGTTTTTCAAATAGATGTGGATTGTAACTTTAGAAATCAACAACCCTCAGCTGCATAGTTTAATTAAAGACCCTGTTTATTATTGAATTGGGGTGAAACAAACATAATCCTCAAAAATGTATCATCCATCATCGTCCTGCTGACTGCAACAAAACAAAAGTGCTTTTTCCTGAAACCTCTAAATTCATAGCTTAATATGCTGTTTGTCAAAAGACATAAAGCTGTGACAGCTCCTACAGGTGTTGTGCTTTTTCATTACAAATGCTTTTACTTTTTAGCTAAATCAAAAACACTAGAGGTGCAGTATCCCAGCGTGAAGTTTGAAGACGTGGGCGGTAACGAGGACACATTAACGGTTCGTGTCTTTCATTTGATTCTGAGATTTAAAGAAGACGGCTGAAGTGTTTCTGGAAACCCAACTCACAAATATATCAACTTCAGCTCGTCCTTTGTTTTCCTGCAGGAGGTGTGTAAGCTGCTGATCCACATGCGTCACCCTGAGGTGTACCAACACCTGGGCATGATTCCTCCGAGGGGCTTCCTCCTCCACGGTCCTCCTGGCTGTGGAAAGACCCTTCTGGCTCAGGCTGTGGCTGGGGTGAGACTTTATTTACAAAAACACAGGCATCTCGTTTAGAAGTCAAGAGCCACATTATGATCAAAGTTTATGGTTCTTCCTACTCCTTTTCGAACGGATAAAACACTGGAAACTTCTTTATTTACTTGTTTGTTTTATTTTTTCTCTTTAGTTTATGAGACTACTTTTGTATGGATCTATTGGTGTACTTAAGGAATGCATGATATTGGATTTTTGGTCAATATCCGATATGTCAATATGTATATGATGTAGAGGCAGAGCAGTTGACTCGGGACCCGAAAGTCCCAGGTTCAGTCCCCAGTCATTGCACATCTTGTGGTGTCTCTGAGCAGCACGCCTTATCCCCAAAATGCTCCCAAGTGCTTTCAATAGCTGCCCACTGCTCCACCTGCTGGTGGATGGGTTAAATACAGAGAGCCAATTTCCCCATTGTATGAGAACATACAATGATGACAACACGTAACACATTATTATTCTTCTTATTATTATTACTATTAAAACTTATTTGTCCGATAACCGATACCGATATTTTATATACGTTCCTTTGTCAGAACATAGCCCTCTTATTTAGATTTATTTGCTACAAAAGTTGTGCAACAGCTGTAAGAGCTGGTGACATATATTCAGTAACAGCCATTTGATATACATAGCACTTTAACTTTTATTAAATGAAAAGTGTTAAATGTTATTTATCAGCATTAGTCACCTGCAATGCTGTCTCACTTGTGGAGGCTTGTTCCAGGTTCCTAGCTGCAGTGTGGGATCCTCTGCACTCTTGTGCATGAAGGACACCCTTTTTAAGTTCAAAGTTTGTGTCTATCCATTGTGCTGTAAGACTAATCATGCTAACGGAGCTAACACGACGTCCAAATGTCTGTGATAAAACTCACCCAAGTGCTATCGGCTATTAACTTCTCAATGACGTCAGAAATGACGGCTTGTAACTCGGTAAGGTTACGTTGGAAAAATATCTCAGACTGGGGATGATGTAGAGAGGATCAACGTGGTCCATAAATCTTTGGAATCCGACATCCTCAACAAAAAAAACTTCCACACCGCTGACATTTTGACTTTTTCCTCGCCGCCGTGATCAGATCAGGTAGGTGCGCGTGACGTCATCACGTTGTGCTGGCGCTGCAGACATCCTTGTCACTGGGTTGTCATACAAAAACAACGTCTTTTATATCGGTGAGTTATTTTGATGGAATGGCCAATGTCCGATATTAAACTTTCACGCTAATATCGACCGATACCGATACCATGCCAATAATATCGTGCATCCCTAGTGTTTTTATTTTTTGTTGAAAGACTGTTAACTTCTTTATTGTTCTTATTTTGTGTTAAATGTCGAGAGTTTGTGTTTCAGGAGTTGGAGCTGCCCATGTTGAAGGTTTCTTCCCCAGAGCTGGTGTCTGGAGTGTCAGGAGAGTCTGAACAGAAACTCAGGGAACTGTTTGACCTCGCTGTGGTCAGTAGATCTCTTCTTTGTTTGTTTGCTTGTTTATTGTGTGTGTTTACATACGGCACAGTCAGGAGGGAAAAGAAAGCCTTTCAGTTCTAGACTTTTACATATCTGGGCACAATTTAAACGACCGCTTCTTTACCTGGTTCCCAAGTGATTTAAATGTGATTATATTCAGCAGCTTGTAAAACAGCCTTTAGCAGCAGTAACTCTCAGCAGTGGTTTTCTGTCTCCGTCAGTTTCTCACATGGTTGTGTAGAAATTTTGGCCCACCCTTCTTTGCAATGTTGCTTCAGTTTGTTGAGAGTTGCAGACGTTAGTTTCTGCACAGCTTTCTTAAAGTTCCACCTCAGCAGTTCATTCAGGCTGAAGTTTGGACCTTGACCATCACGATTATTTACTGGTCAGCTGTTCTGTTGCAGATTAGCTGCTGTGTTTGTGATATCTGTCCTGTTTCATCATGACCCAGTATAGTCCAAGCTTCAGCTGTCAAACACAAAGCCACGTTTCTCCAGAATATTTTGGTCCACAGAGGAGTTCACGGTCCACTCAGTGGCTGAAATGTTCCCTGAACCTGCTGCTGCAAAGCAGGCTCAAATCATCGCCCCTCCACCACCGTGCTTAACAGTTAGTTTGAGCTGTTTGTGCAAAGTATGCTGTGTTTGTTTGTTATTGGCAAACCTGCTGTGCATGATGGGAAAACATTTCTACTATGGCCACATTTGTTTAAAAGATGTTGTTCCAGAGGTCTTGTGCTTCGTTCAGATGAATGTGTTCAAACCTGTTCTTTTTAAAGAGCTTTTCTCCTGCAGTCCTTCCAAACAACCCATACGTGTCCTGTCCGCACAAACTGGAGTTTGTGGAATAATCTTTCTTTCTGCAGAACGATGGACTCCAGAGAGTTTAGGAAAGGCGCCTTGCTGTTCTTTTTTCTTTTAAATCTCCTGAAATGAACAAGATCGACTTAGTTTTTTCCCACACCGGTTTTTCATTTTGTTTTTATGTAATAAATACTGACATGGAGGAATCTGTTGTCTTCTTTTTTTTTTCCTCTTCATGTTAGATTTGAATAACTTTGGAACCCGGTAAAAACCAGATCATGTATATTATGTTCTGATACATAAAACCCCTAAATTGAAAAAGGGCTAGATTAATTTTTCTGACTGTATAACTTGATTCACAAAGAACAAGGCAGGCGTGGAGCAGCAATACAAATGCTGTTATGGCTTTTGTTTATTGCATGCCACCCCAGAGCTATCAGTGGCCCCCACCTGCTCCCTTTCTGGAGGTGCCCTGGTTGCAGTGATTTCTTTTCAAACTCACAACTTTCTTTTTATGGTGACATTTACAGTCGTCTCTCGCTCTATCCCGGTTCAGTTGTTGTGGCTTCACAGCATTGCAGATTTTTATTTTTGATATATTACATATACAGATATGTGCTGACTCCCACCAGTCTATTTTTAAGACTTTCTGAACTGTGTCTGGTTGAATTTTGGGGTCATTTTACAGGGAAAGGTTGATAAGAGAGCGGTAAAAGTTTGTAGGAGTGTGGGAAAGGTTTACAAGCCTTCAATATATATAAATAATTTAAATATGACGCTGCTACTTCGCAGATTTTCACCTGCCTCTGGAACGTAACCACCACGATAGGTGAAGGGTCACTGTACTTGCTTCACCCCCAGCCTCATGGGTAGCAGTAGCACCTTGCCACTCGGGGGCGTGTCCAAACCATGCAGCAGAGTGACATGTGGTGAACATCTTTGGTGCAGCTAGGCCTGTCACGATAAACAATAAATCAATCGCATGATAAATGAAAATTATCGACCTCATTTTCATTTATCAAATTTATTGTTTCTTTGTGTCTCTCTCTTTCTATTGAAGACACTGGATGACAAAAGGCTCAACTCCGGTGCTCTTCACTGACCCCTCCCTTTCTCTTTTCTCTTTAAAATTTGTTTTAACCATCCAAAATCACATTTTTGGATGGTTAAAAGCAGCTAAGCTGAGAAACTAAGCTACGAGTTAAGGCAACAGGCCGACCTCGGAGAAAAAACCTCCGTCTTGTCGAAGCTCCAGAATTCATGGTTGAAACTTATGCCTTCATGTAAAAAGTTGTTTTTCTTTGCAAAAAGAAGCTGAGAACTTGTTTACTGATTTTTTGTTAAAAGCTTTGTGTGAAAAATGCTATGTTAAAGAGCTCAAACCACACTGAGCGTCCGCCATTTTGAGAATCGAAAATCAGAAACGAGAGACAGCCCATGTCACGTCAAGTGTCCTCCCTCCCATTTTCCTTAAAGAGACACGCTGCTCGCTCCCTCACTATCCATCCTTCAGTTCAAACAGTCTTATACTGCCATCCAGTGGTAAAAAAAAAAGGTACAACACACAAAAATTAACCAACATTTCTTCTTAAATTTGACAATAATTACTAATTATTGTCAAATTTCAAACAATATTATTGTTTATCGCAATAATTTCTGAGACAATCGCTCAGCAAAATGTGTTGTGGTGACAGGCCTAGGTGCAGCTGCGCCTTCATGGCCGGTTGATGGAGGCAGTAACTGCAGATTAGGAACATCTACTTTTTACTTGAATAAATTTAGAACCATACAGGAAAAAAACAATGTTTATGACACACAGTAAATGAATGTGACTGGAAGAGTAAGATAATGATGTCGTTTATAGCAGCTCACCCAGTGACCAAGGACTGATTCAAGAACTTCTGTCAAGTGTTTCATGAATGTTTCTGTTGTATAGCTGATACAGTGAAACTAGTGAAACTGTAACTTTTCCCTCTTTACAGAGCTCTAGTCCATGTATCCTGTTCATAGATGAGATTGATGCCATCACCCCTAAAAGGGAGGTGGCCTCTAAAGACATGGAGAGGAGGATTGTCGCCCAGCTGTTAACCTGCATGGACGGTCAGTTAAGTTTCTTTTACTCTGACTAAAATGGCCACAACCTGCATCAAAACCTGAGTTTTTAAATTCAGGCTTTGTTCTGAGTGGGATTTAACAGAAACTAGAATCAGTGCACTTTTATTCAAACTTTGACAAAAGAAGCTGTATTTAAGCAGGAGGAGTGTCCTCCAGTGTTAGTCAGACTGATCAGCTGCGGTCTGCTTTTGTTTTTATATTTTAACGCTCCTGTTTTGAGTGGAAGTGGCAGATCATTTCAGAGCAGAACGATTCGGTTGAACCTTGAGCTCCAAAGATTTCAGCTTCTTGTCTTCCTACAGACTTGAACAGTCTGGCTGTGACAGCTCAGGTTCTGGTTATCGGGGCCACCAACAGACCAGACTCCCTAGACCCGGCCCTCCGCAGAGCTGGACGCTTCGACCGAGAGATCTGTCTGGGTATCCCTGATGAGTCGGCACGTCTCAGGTGAGCAACACATAACAAAACCGATTCACTTCAGAGGGATAAATGCTCTGCACCTACGAGTATTTATGAAGTATCTGCATGTTCAAATAAAATATTCTTATTCTTGAGCTGAGCGCAGACGTTTCAGATTGAACCACACTATGAGTCTGTTACTCTTTGACCACAGTATGAACAGAACATCGTGTGCTCTGTCAGGATTTTAAAGACGTTGTGTAGAAAGCTGACGCTACCCGAAGATTTCGACTACCAGCAGCTGGCTCGGCTCACCCCGGGCTACGTAGGAGCTGACCTCATGGCTCTCTGCCGTGAAGCCGCCATGGCTGCTGTGAACAGAGTTCTGCTGGAACTGAGGGCACCTCCACAGAACCAACAGCAGAGCTCTGCTGAAGAACTGACAGGAAGCAGAGAGCAGACGGAGGCTGGAAACCAGCAGCAGGTACATGCCAACACATCTGCTGCTGTTTTGTTTCACCGTATGAAGAGTCGTGATGGACAAGGTCAATAATATTTTTTAAAAAACAATTAACCGGTACTTCAGATAGTAAAGTTGGATGAAGGATGAAAACAAAGCATTTAGGTGATTTGCAGGTTAACAGTGATTTCTATTTGCACCCAACCTAAAGATCCATCCTTGAGAGCAGACGGCATTCTACTAAATCATTATTATTAGTATTATTGGGCAGCTGTGGCTGAGTGGTTAGAGCAGTCGTCCTCCAATGCAAGAGTTGGGGGTTCGAATCCACCAGCAGTCACATGCTGAAGTGTCCCTGGGCAAGACACTGAACCCCTTGTTTTCTCTGATGTGTGTCCCATCAGTGTATGAATGTGATAAATCACTGATTAGTCTCTTTAGACTGATTTGTTCAATCTTTGCAGGGATCAAGTAGAGTGCTGTATGAATGGGTGAATGAGGCACAGATTGTAAAGAGCTTCGAGTGTCTTGATCAGATAGAAAGGTTCTGTATAAGTACAGTCCCTTTACCATTATTGTTCTTTGTCTTCAATAACTGCAGAATTATATTCACACTGCACAGTTACACTGTGGTGGAAACAGGTATGAGTGCAGGTCAGTCCTGAGAGTTAGACAAAAAAAAAAACTTTTATTGCTCCTGTGCTCTTATTCGTCTCGTTCTGTCTTTATTTTTGATTTGTTACTCCTCCCACAGGTTTGGAGTCAGAAAAATAGTTTGTGACTCTTAGTAGCAGAACATGAAACAACAAAGACATTTGCAACAAAAAATAGCTAAAACTTTTCCCCGTGACAACAAGATATTAGTGTAATGTGTGAGATTACCCAGCTCTTTGAAAGTCTACAGCTGAAGCATAGCTCAGACAGAGTGGAAACATCACTGACAGCTTAAAGAGGTGACAGAAAGTTAGGCTTTCCACAACTGAACGGACTTTTGTTAACGTCTTTAACTGTTTACAAATGTTTCTGAAAGTCGTCCGCTTTGAGAGTGATCACTTTAGGTTGTCTAAACCAGTGTTTTACACAGTGGGGGCCATGGCCCCCCCGGGGGGGGGGGGGGCTGCTGAGGTGGCCTCAGAAAGCTGGAGAGAAGAGGATAAAAAAGCAAAAAAATAATAATAACAATAATAAAAATTGCCCATAGGGCAATCTGTGTGTGTCATTTCCAGATAAAGACGCTTGAGAGAGGTTAGATTTCTTTTGTTTTGTTCTTCTGGTCAACAGTTTGTTAAAAAGTTATTTTTCAGTGGGAATATAATACTGTGCTCAAAACGTTAGTTAATATTTTTATGCTCAGCTGCTGTAATAATTAATTGAATATAGTGAATAAAATAGTTCATACATTCTAAAAGTTTGTGTTTCTTGACATATTTTGTAGCATTGTTTGTGAGTGTGTGTGTGTGTGTGTGTGTGTGTGGGGGGGGGGGGGTGTCAGCCAGCTGTTTGGGGGGCCATGGCATACAAAAGTTTGGGAACCCCTGGTCTAAACTTTGCAAAACGTTTGCAAGCAGACCAGTCTCATCGCCACGAACTTTACAAACGTACAGTTCATTCATCAAGATGTAGACGTTTCATCCACACCCAAACTTACTGACTTCTGTTGTATTTACATAAGTCAGTCCTTCTCAAATAGTGGGGCGCGCCCCCCTGGGGGGGCCTGGGGCAATGCCGGGTGGCGCATGTGACCCGGGGAACATGCTTTTTTTGCCGCAGGGAGTAGTTGTTGTTTTTTTTCCCACCAATCTCCTTTAGTCGCGTGCGTTCAGCAACTGTTTGCTTGGATTCAGCGTCTCTCAGGCTGACTGATAATAAAGTTGTGAACAAATATGGCCGCCTTGTCGTTTAGGGAGCCATGCATGAACCGTGTCGCTCCCCTCTGCTGTTGAGACGATAAATAAATCAATCCGACACCTCCTCAGTCCTCCGCTGCTGTTTTTGTGACGCTCTGGACGTCACCAAGCGAGAGCGACACCTGCTCCTCTCTCCTCGTTCGCACTGACAAAATGTTTTAGTTTTATTCATGAGTGGGCTCATTGATCCTGAATGCCTCATCTTGATAAACTTGATTTAATACGCAGTCTTTGTTTAGGGATTGAAATATTTCTGACTCCTGTCTTGATGGATGATGTTTTGCTTCCTGCAGGGGGAGTTGTGGAAGTTGCTGAACCTGCTCAAAACCACCGAGACGCTGTCAGAGGAGGAGCTCGTCGGCCTGTCCATCCTCATGTCTGATTTTCAGGGAGCTCTGTCCAGAGTTCAGCCTTCAGCGAAAAGGGAGGGCTTTGCCACGGTCCCTGATGTCACCTGGGAGAACGTAGGAGCCCTGCAGGAGATCAGAGAGGAGCTCACCATGGCCATACTTGTAAAGACCAGAAATTTATTTACTATTTTATTTTTATATTTCGTGATTACTATGAGGTCGTCTAGAGTTAACCCTTTTTATTTTCTTATCTTTTGTGTTCTCAACAATAACTGAAACAAACCTTCATTGTCAGCTTGTGTCTTTTAAGTTTAAACTTGTTAAGTTAATTAAATCCTGGTGCGTGTGCACAACGATTTAAATGACGATCAACACAATGGCTTTTTGGAATCCAGTGATGAGCTGTCCCTGCTATAATTTAGTTAGTGTGTTTAGCTATCTGTAGACTTTAATCCCAGAGTAACATCTGTTGTTGTTGTTGTGTGTCTCCTGCAGGCTCCAGTTCGTTCTCCACAGCAGTTCAGAGCTTTAGGCCTCAGCGCTCCTTCAGGAGTTCTGCTGGCTGGACCTCCAGGGTGTGGAAAAACCCTGCTGGCCAAGGTTCCCCGTCACACAAACATTACAGAGAACAGGCAGCTGTGTTTGTTGATGTCTGTAGCTGTCTTGCACCAAGCCTTTAGTTAGCTGTCAGACATCCTGCATTTAGCTTGAAGTCAGTTGTCAATGGTGCATCTCAGCATCCTGAGAGTAAAATCTATTGAAAATCACTCTGATCTCTTTGTATGACAGCAGGAGTAAACTGGTTTTTAACGGGCTGACTCACTTTATGTTGCTGTTTTCTTTTTTAAGGCGGTGGCCAATGAGTCCGGCCTCAACTTCATCTCAGTTAAAGGTCCAGAGCTGCTCAACATGGTGAGTCTGAGGATCCACACAGCCTGTGCTGCTGCTTTGGTATTTAAAGAAACGAACAACTAAACGGCCAGTTACTGAACACCGTTTCTTATTTAGGTTATTCTTCTTTTGTACCAGTGTGTTTGTAAATGTTTGTCCCCTGAAGGTAAAAGTTCAGTAATATATGATGAACCACTGGACGGATTTTCAATAAAACTCTGGAAGTAATCACTTTTTGGAGTCATTGCAGTTCAAGATGGCCGCCAGAGTTAACTCTTTTGGAAACACAAAAATTATTTTTCATTCATTCAATGTTGTGATCTTAGTCTAAAGCTCTGACATGAAAGTGTTTGGGCCTTCAGGTTGTTCTGTTGATCTCATGCTTGTTGTGGCAGCTTCAGTCCTGTTGGTGTTTGTAACCGATGAATCTGTGGCGATGTGCGCAGTACGTGGGGGAGAGCGAACGTGCAGTCAGACAGGTCTTTCAGAGAGGACGCAACTCTGCTCCTTGTGTCATCTTCTTCGACGAGCTCGACGCTTTGTGTCCCCGTCGTTCAGGCCACGAGGTGAGGTATCTGATTACAGTTAGCTGATCTTATCATTGTTTTTATACTTCCACTGTTTAACACTCATTATCATGATAAGTGTTATTATGCAGTTCTGCAAACATTTTATTCCAAATTTAGAGGCAATGTATTTCTAGATTTACATGATTTACTGTATAACTTGGAGGCTGCGAAACTCAAAAGGTTTTTAAAAACTTGGAATTTGTTGGACGTTAACTAAAGTTATTATAAGCAACTGATCATCACATGCCATGAAGTCACTGGAGAGGCTGGTCCTGAAGCATGCCGGATCAGTGGTGGAACCATACCTGGACCCCCTCCAGCCATGCACTGGAGTTGATGACGCCATCATGTACCTGCTGCACAGAGCCCACACACACCTGGACAGGGCAGGCACCACTGTAAGAGTCACGCTCTTTGACTTTTCCAGTGTTTTAAACACCATAAGACCTGCTTGACTCTGCAGTAAGCGTGGGTCCTCCCCCAGAAAATTTGGAATAAAAGAGATGCCATGTCCTGCATTTTGTTGTATTTTAACTGGTTGTTAAACATCTGTAAATATTTGATTAAATTGATTAAAAACAGGTCTCTCTTGTAAATGACGAGGCTCAATGAGTCTAACAACCTGTATAAATAAAGGTTGAATTGAAATTACTATTTTAGAGAGCAGTGAATAGAGCAGCTCGATTCAGTCAAGCGTCCTAACCCCCCCCCCCCCACACACACACACACACACACACTTCACTGTGGAAACTCTTCTCAGCTGAATTCAGTCCTGCGTGTTGTTCTGCTCCAGTCTCTATTACCGCTGCCTTCAGGTGCTTTAATTCTTGGTTGTCCAGCTGAGGACGATCCATCCATTTATTTTATGAAAGTAAACTGTCTTTTCGACATTTTGATTGCTCTTATTTTAACAAATTAGTGCAGTTGTTTCAAAACGTGATTAATGTGAATAATACTCATCAAACATTTTACTCGTTTTTTGTTTGTTTGTTTTACTGTAAGCTTTTTAATTTATTATCTCTGAAATGTTACGCACCGTGTTAATATATGCAGGACTTCTGACACATCAGCAGTTGTGCTCGTGTCCTGTAGAGCTGTCTGGAGACGCTCCTGTGTGTAAAACATGCACTGTCTGCAGGGAGCTGGGTGAAGCTGACACACCTAGCTTCTGCACGGTGCACAGCTGAAGGTGGATGAAGATGCTCATCCCCGCGGGACATGCGGTCCGCGTCTCTGCTGGGCAGGAGTGTGTGCGCGGGCTGGTGCACGTAGTACAACCGGAACATCCACTCCACAGACTGGACAACGTCTCCACTTGTTGTATTTTTAATGAATAATCAAAATTAAAACAAGCGATGACTTTGGACTTTTATGGGCGGAGATTTGAGTTGCCGGATCCGAGGAAACAGTTGTTGGAACGCACCAGGTCTAAATGAGAGAGTTCCCGGGTCTTGAGCCGGCTCAGATTAACCCCTGCATGTACGTATGTACTTAATAGAACCATAAATAAAGGCTAGTTGATTGAGGGACAGGTGTAATTTTTACTATTATAGGGTGGCTGTGGCTGAGTGGTTAGAGCAGTTGTCCTCCAATACAAGAGTTGGGGGTTTGATTCCACCACATGCGTCACGAGTCACATGCTGAAGTGTTCCTGGGCAAGACACTGAACCCCTCATTACCTCTGATGTGTCCCATCAGTGTATGAATGTGATCTAAAGCTCTGATTATTCTTTGTAGAGATCTAGTAGAGTGCTGCATGAATGAGGACACAGATTGTGTTGTAAAGATCTTTGAGTGTCTTGATAAGATAGAAAGGTGCTGTATAAATACAGTCCATTTACTATTTACTATTGGCGGTACTTTTATTCTTTTTTGTATTTATCAAAGTCATTGTTGCTTTATAGGTCATTTACACAACATGTGGTACATATGGTGGAACGAAAATGTGTACACAGGGTCCCAGTTACATCCAACAAAGTAGAAATTGTAAAGAAAAACAGTAATAAGATCTAAGATATGAACTAAGAAAACGTTAAACTAAGAATACATTAATACGCCGAACAACAGCAGCACGAACATGAGCCTGTGTGAGCAGATGAGGACGAATGAACACAGCAACATGAAATAAATCAGCAACATGGATAGTCAGCAGCACATATCAACAATCAAGTGGCGTTACAGTGATTTTTCACAGTGATTATTCTGGTTAGAGATTCATGAGTCTAACAGCTTCAGGGTAGAAGCTGTTCCTCAGTCTTGTTGTTCTACACTTAATGTTCCTCAACCTCTTTTCTGAGAGGAGCGGGGCAAAAAGTGGGTGTGCTGGGTGAGTGGGGTCCTTCATGATGCAGGTGGCCCTCTTCCTGCATCTGGAGGTGTAGATGTCTGTGATGGTGGGGAGACTGACTCCAACATCTTCTGTGCAGCCTTCACCACTCTCTGCAAAGCTTTTCTTTCTGCAGCTGTGCAGCCTCCATGCCACATGTTGATGCTGGAGCACAGGATGCTCTCCACTGCACACCTGTAGAAGGAGGTGAGGACTGAGCTTCCCTGACCAGCTCATCTCAGCTGCCTGAGGAAGTAGAGTCTCTGATGAGCTTTCTTGATCAGGCTGGTGGTGGTGTTGCTCCAGCTGAGGTTTTCATTCAGTTGCAGTACTTGTAGCTGGAGACCACTTCCACTACATTTATTTTACTGAACGTGTTCATTTCCCTATGTATGCAGAAGTTGCAGAGGTATTTAAAAGGCATATTGAAGGAGTGTCACAGAGGTCTGATTAGTCCTAACGCTGTCTCAGTATGTCTTTCAGTCCAGCACTGGTTGTGTGACAAATCTACTGTTATTGTTTAAAGACAGGTTGAATATTATTGTGTTGTTCTGGACTAAGGGTTTTGCTAAGTTATATCTGTATTCTGTGACTGTGTGGAGCCTTTAAAATTTGTCACGTTGTACCCGTCACCATTCATTTCATTGTTTGGGGTGTCCCCTGGGGAGTCGTCCTTTAGCAAGTACGAGAAAAATATGATTGTTTTCGTTTGTCTCTCTTTTAGCCAGGAGACTTATTTTATACAGATGGAAGGAAACACATCCCCCGGCATATGAACACTGGATAAGAGAAGTCGTGTCATATTCATTTGGAAAAGATTAGATATACTCTTAAAGGATCTGTTGAGAAGTTTTGGGAAACTTGGCAACCATTTATATCTTATAGTATGTCAGCAGACAATATTGTATAATTGTCATAAATGCCTGTGTGTTACGTCTGCACAAATCTGAGAATGAGTTTGTCTTACCTGGATGCCTGTCTCATGTATGCATGTCTGTGTAGCTGATCTGGTATAGGAGGGGTAGGGTCGGAAGTGATTTTGTTGTATGTTTTTTTGTTTGTTTGTTTTTTGTTTGTGTTCTCTGAATAAATAAAACAATAAAAAGACTTTGGGGAAAAAAAGCTCATGTTCAAACAAGCTCAGAAGGTTTTAGCTCAAACACTGTCTCCACTATAAAATACAGAAGCATTGTCTTTCCAGCTTCAATGGTTTTGTGCATTTTTCTTTTTATAGATAGATTTATCAAATGTGTTCATAAAGTAAACAGAGTAAACCAGCAAGCTACAAAACTTTGTAAAAATCCTCCTTTTTTATTTAGAGCTCCTCAGATCCAAACATTTTACCAGCAGCAACCAAACCTTTACCAAATGTTGAAGTTTTTAACTCCCAGGTCAAACAAATACTAATATTTATATCATGTAATATATAAAATATTTGTATTATTTGTACTTGTAATTTATTTTAGAAGATTAACCTGCCATGTTAGTAATTTTTTGACCTACCATTTATTATTTGGCTACAAGTTCAAGCTGCAGCTGCACTGTTTGAGCTGTAGTCTTATTTTATGTGATGAAATCAACCTAAATGGATCAATAAAAGTATAAACTCAAAGCTTAACTTGTAGAAACCTGTTGACAGGTACTGTTTGTGTTCAGTCAGGAGCCAGTGTTCGGGTCGTCAACCAGCTCCTCACAGAGATGGACGGCTTGGAGAGTCGACGGCAGGTCTTCATCATGGCTGCAACCAACAGACCAGGTACCGGTCCAGCTTCTGTCCAACTTGGTTTAGTTCTGAGGTGTAGGTCGTTCACAGCAACCCTCAGGACTGAATAAAGTTTCATCTTTTGGATGTTTGTGGGTCTGTCATCTGCAACAAGCTTCACTGTCACAACCTCTGTGGGACCAGTTTATAATCACATTTGTGTTTTGTCCCTCCAGATATCATTGACCCTGCCATACTGAGGCCAGGTCGTCTTGATAAAACCTTGTATGTGGGGCTGCCATGTCCAGCAGATCGTCACGCCATCCTGCTCACTCTAACCAAGGTAATTTATTAACCAGATACCACAGAAACAACCGAGAAGATTACCAGAAGTTATGTTACCAGAAAGGGTCATTTTTCTGAGCAGTAGTTAGGAATGCCTAAATGACCTTTTAACCATTTGTTTCTCAGTCACAGTATTTCTGAGGTGGGTTAAGTATTTGCTCTCATGTATCACTTCAGGCAGCTGGCAAAGGTAAAACTATTTATTTTGAAACAACTACTGGAAATAGTAATATATGTCTTTATCACATTGCAACTTGATTACTGCAATGCTCTTTACCTTGGAGTCAGCCATTCACCTTCAGGCATTTCCATCTGGTCCAGAACGCTGCTGCTGCAGCCGTTTACATATAGAAATGTTTTTGACGTCTTTTTGACTTTTTCTCTCAAATCTTTTCAGAGTTCATAAACTTTCATTATACAGTAGTCCCTCGCTACTTCGCAGTTTGTTTATCGCAGACTCGCTATTTCGCGGTTTTTCAAAACAAGAGTGGACATGACACACAATTCGCTGATTGATGGATGAGCCGCACGATCGGCATGGAGATTTAATTTAAAATAAATTATTTTAAATTATTTAGTACCTGCTGCACAGTTGTGCAGCCCAGAGCAGCAGAAACAGCATCCTCCTGCAGCTTTGTGCAGGCCATACTGCTACAGGATAAACTTCCTGCTGCAGCTGATCAGCTGTTCACATGCAGAGCAGAGAAGTGGGCGTGGCCAAGAGCGCTTGCAGGCGGCAAAGAGCAGAGGAAGCAGAGAGCTGAGATCATGACATGCTGTGCTCTTTTAGAGTGTTTATAGTTTAGAAACATTGTTTAAAATATTGCAAGAGTGTGGGAAGGGTTTAAAATGT